GGAAAATGAGCTATGCACGATTAAAGAAAATAGTTTGGTGCGTCGATATGATATTTCACAGAGGCATGTATTGCATTAAGTCTTTCGATAACAACCATTTGTAGAACTGATTATTTCAATTCTTCAAATATGTGAAAAATAATAAATATTTATATTATTTAGTCTCTTTCATATATACAATTGCAGTATGTTTATAAATACTGTAGATTTGTATTTGATCATTGATTGCATGCATAACGTCCAGTGACAAATATTTCATGTATAAGAACAAATCAACAACTGTTAAAATACAATTGGTTGGTTATATTAGGTGATTCGATCTAATTGATTTGCGTTAAAATTTGTGAAACTTGGACAGAAGCTTACCTCTAAAATAAATAAATATATAAAAAAAAGTTAGAGTTATTTTTTCTTTCTGTATTTTACTCATTCATGGACTTAATGGTCAAAATAACAGTTTGAACACCGATAGCAGCAATCATTATATATAATTCATTGTATCAAGGAAATATTTGGATCAAAGAGAGAGAGAGAGAGAGAGAGAGAGAGAGAGAGAGAGAGAGGTTTTATATAGCACGGTATTCCATAGTGTAATGATATTAGTTGCAGATTTTTTTTCTATCGGTAAGAAATGGTATACAGTTCGAAATCTAAATTAAGTTATAGTACATTCAAAGTAAGTTTATTACATTGCTAAACGTTTTTTAATCAAGACAAAACGTTTACAATCAATACTATTTTTAACGACTAAAAAAGTTTTATGTAAAATAGATAGTTCACGTTCCATTGAACTAAGGGTATTGTTTAGGTTAGTTTTTCTAATATTTTATAAGATCAAATTTTAAATGTTGTTAACACAATGATTCAAAATTACAAAAAGACATCATAAGAATTACGCAATTTGTATAAAACAAAAAACATGATAATTAAGATAACTTATTTGCTTTAATTAACTAGTGAAATATTTCTAATCCAATCTTTCCAGTCTAATTTAGTCCAAATGGTGACAAGGGGATATAAATATGGTCACTACAAGTCTTCTTTCGGCTGGCAGTAAAAAAAACCTTGCCAAAGTGGGGCATCCGCCTGGTTGTTTGGGATATACAAGTACGCAACCAACTATAAATCAATCCAATCTTATAACTGTTTTTTTATCCCGCATTTTTTATATTAAATTATTTTAACTCAAAATAATAATTGAAATAACTTTCTGAAATAAAACATATATCATACGCTTAACAAAACGATATACCATACGATAGATGAAACGCTCAACCATACGATAAACGAAACGCTAAACCATACAATAAACGAAACGCTAAACCATACGATAAACGAAACGCTTAACGCTAAACCATACGATAAACTAAACGCTAAACCATACGATAAACGAAACGCTAAACACTAAACCATACGATAAACGAAACGCTAAACGCTAAACCATGCCATGTTACATACGACAAATAAAACGCTTAACGATACCACGAACCATACGATATACAAAACCCTAAACGATGACATTTACCATACGATGAACGAACGATGAACGAACGCTGACCGAACGTTGTACGAACGCTATACGAATGATGTACGAACGATTCCCGAACGCTATACGAACGATTCCCGAACGCTGTACGTACGATTCCCGGATGAAAAAAGTGTTAACTTTTACGTTACAGGGACTGTATCAACTCATTACCGACAGATATTGTGTATCTTTGCATATAATTTATCTATGCATTTATAATATTTTAACAGTATGATATAGTGGGACATCATTTGGGGCATATACATTTGGGTCAATATCCCTAATGCGCCTCAAATTGAGGAACTCAAAAATTGTGCGTACACAAAAAATCTCTGTATAGTGCAATTGGACATGTTTCTATTTTTAACAAGTGACTGAGCTCAGTCATTTGAGTTGATTTGGAAAGTAGAGAACTGTAGAATAAATGTGTAGAAACTATGGAGTTATTAAATGCATTCAAAGTATTACATTTTCAAAGAACGTATTGTGTGAAAAAAGGGATTTTTTAAAACGAGGAGCATGATGAAATGATTTTCGGGGTATGCTAATTAACGGAAAAATGAATCTCACTTCGTATCCAAAAATTTAACCAAATATGTGAACATTTCCCAGCTTCAAAACGGGCCAAAATACATATCCAAGTTTACGATATGGACTGAACTACAGGAGAAAACGTTAGCAATACCGCCTATGGGAAATCAATTGCGCATATTGAACCATTTAAATTCAGAAGAAAAAAGTCTGCATGTTTTCCAAATATTTGGGCAATGGCCTTATACTGGACGTGATACACTTCTATATTGAAATAGCATTAGCTGTCAAATTCATGTTCACCGATTTGACTCAAATTCTCATATTTGATGTATAACATACTAAAACGTATATCCAAATTATAAAAAAGACTAAAATAAACAATTAACAATGCATTTGCTCGATAATATGTATCAGCATTTTGTTTGCATTTTCGTCTATACACCAGCTAATTAATCATCGAGATGACCTCCAAAGACTGTCGACGGTCATTTAACTGATATAAACATAAATATTGATGTAGTTAAAAAGAAAACTGGTTCAATTGGATTTTTCTAGGTCTGTTTGATTTCATATGACAGGTTAAAAGCATATCGTATATCGAGTTTTTTAGCGTGTGTTTATTTTTTTTCTGTGTTTGCGGCAGCTACAAAAAAGCGAAAATTTGACTCGCGTAAATTTCCCTGCCTTTTCTTAGATTTACAGCTGTTCTTTAAATGTTTCATAGTTAAACTGCTAATTATCGAGTGTACATAAAGGTGAAATTACATTTTTATATAAAATCAGTCTTTTGTGTTGATTGGTAGATCAAAAGAGTTAATTAATTGAATTATCTGTTTTTATAATAATTAAATTTGCTTATCATACATGTCATATCTTTTGACAACACAGAAGTCAGTTAAATGTTCAAAAATGTTAATAACCGATGTCTATTGATTGTTGTCATAACCCGAAAATTTTGCATTTTGTATAAAAAACTAAATTAAAATAAATCACATTTTAACGGATAATTACATGAATGTGCTTTCAAAATGATATGTTATACTAGCATAAACTTCTTTAAAAACTTCATGTCTTACCATGCCACAATGGACATGATTTAAACGATTATTGAAAGATATCCGAATATATGTATTTTAGTTTGTAGAACACGTATATATATGTAATCGATTATCTGTCAGTCATTTACATTTATAATTTGCTTTACATCTTTAACAATACAATACAGTGTTTTTTCGCGTGTATTTTCCCATTAAGCGAAAATTATACACAGCGAAAATTTAACCTGCCCATTTTGTCATCAAATCGCGAAAAAAAGCCGACGCGAAACCAAAATCGATATACGGTAGGTTAATCATTTTTTACCAGACGTATAAAAATGTATTTTCGTGGATCCAATCAGTAAATCAAATGGTTTACCCTTATTTCACTTTAAGTATTGACATTCTTTTCCTTTTAATAACTGAACACGCCTAACTCATTTCTAGCTAAAGGTTTACATGGAAGGTCACATGCATACGGATTCATTGAGGTCGAATTATTCACTTGCAAAAAAAGTAAAATAACAATATACCGAACTCCGATGAAAATTCTAAACGGAAAATCCCTAAGCAAATGGCAAAATCAAAAGCTCAAATACATCAAACAAATGGATAACAACTGTCATATATCTTGAATTCAAGCGAATAATTAATCAGCGACGTTTTTATCTTATTTTGACAAATTTGAACCAAACTTGTTTCTAAAAGCGAATTATTATTTCACTATTTCACTTTCATTAATGATTGAACCAAAAGAAATCATATTTATTTTTTTTATATCTCGTAGCTAACGTAAGTCTATTATTAGAAAATAAAAAAATCTATCTATCAAATAAGATAAGTTCAAATAAAGTGCTATGTTGAATAACCAGGGCTAACGGTAATTTATGCCATAGAAGTTTTTGTTGAGTCTGCAAAGAATTTGCAGGTGATAAAGGTGACATATAAAAACAATACATATTTAATTTATACATTGGTATTGATTGTTTTACTTTATTCTAATCTGCATACATTTACTGGTGACTAAATAATGTCCAGTTTCAAATACTACATGTATATTCAGGTGAAGAGAGAAAATTGGTTTTTCAAATATGAAATTGAAATGGTGTTTAAAACAAAATATTGTGAAACCTTCAATGATTAAAGAATAAAGGATAAATATCATGAATATAAACTGAAAAACAGTTAAAATAATTCTACATCACCTGAATTGGAAAACATGTATAATATCGTTTAATTTAATTGTCAACATTAATGACTCAGTATTTTTAAACTTTAAAGCACAAATAGTACAACCTACACTCCACCTTAATGAAAAAATTCATGGTCTGGTAAATCTTTGTATTATCGATTAAGGGACTCTCCGTTCAGTACCTACGTTAATTCGTTTAAAGAACTACGAGAAAATGGCAGGTGAAAAGTATTCAATAACATATTTATGTTTTAAATTTCCTTACTGAATTCATTCACGTACGCTTGTTTAAAGCAACGTTTTTTTTTTTGGTTTTTTTTGCACATGAAACTTCACATTGAAACAGCGGCACTGAGCGAATATCAAATTGTTGAATGAAAGGTTTCATTTACACAAATGTTACAACATAAAGGGACATATTCGCTGTTTTGTTGTTGTTGGTTTTTTTTCATTGAAATCGCGAAATAAACCCATAATACGCATCCACTGTACAGAACAGTTTGAACTCTAACTCGAATTGTGACTCAAAATTTTAATTTTTAGACCCCCGCCTCTGGATTGAATTATAAAACATTAATAATTGGCTTATCATTCATTTGTAAATATTAAATCACAGTAATGTTAATTTAATTTTAGATCTCAATTGCATGTAGGCTTTAAATAGAAACGAAAGAAGATATAAGGATATCCCCGTTGCGAAGGTTAAGTTAATTCACAGTTTGCAACAAGCATGGCAGGTAATAATAATTTATTAACATATTGCACTTCTTCTATATAGATTGTGTATAACAAAATTCATTCTAAAACTTTGTTCAATGAAAACAAAGTATACATGTTTAGCAATTAATTTTAACATATCATACTACTCGCTAGATATAGAAAATTATCGTCAAAAACTAATATCTGTGATTTTTATTTATGATTATGCGCTTTCAATATAGAGGAATTCATATGGCTCGTCAGATATGTATCTTTGAATAAGTGACCCTTTCTTAATCTGAAGTCATATTTAAAAGAAAAACTCTCACAATAGGACACCATATCAATCAATATGCCTATTGAATTATTTACTGTCTCATTTAGCGAGCAAAACAAAGTTACCTCATTGCATCTATATGGTACATGGTTAGAGTTAAACATGTTAAACGGAAACATCAACAGATAATTTTAAAATTGAAAGGAAAACAAGAGATAGGAACAATCAGTGATTTAAATTTATTAATAAGTTCAAGTGTTTTTTTTATCCTTATCATTTTTATTTTGTTTTTGTTTTGAATGATTAGAATGTTGTTTTCTTATCACATTTAGGAGCATTGCTATTGTATATTTTAATATTTATGTACGATTATCTGTTTTTCAATATCTTTTCAATATCTATTTTGGATCGTGGTTGGTGCAGGTTTTTACACATAACAACTTACAAAAGGTACATTTAAATCAAATATGATATAATATGTTACAGGAGTAGTTCACTATGCCAGGTCAGCTTGTTGTGTTAAAAATTTTTAAGTTTACATAAAGAAGTAACTCTTGAAAATAAAATGCTAGACTTACTTGAAAGACTATCATCTGTTCGATATGTGGAGCATGTTATTTAATATAGCTTTACTTTCACAAAATATTTTTACGGTTTTTATTTTTTTAAATAATTGAAACCCTGAGGTTGTTCTATTTGAATGTATAAATGTTCTACGCATTTTGTACATCTTTACGAAACGTCGATTTTGTTGTTTTATGGCATTCCAATTTGTTTAATTTGGCGTAATTTACGAGTCTCATGATATATACACGCGCGTCTCTTAATAATTTTTTTTTCTGATGTTGTATTGAAATCTGTTTGTATATTGTTTCATCTAGATCAGTTATGCGTTACTATTGTAGATTTTTGACGACCAAAAAGTAACCGTTACTTCTAAGCTGAGAAAACATAGACACGATTTGTGTTATGTATTTTGATGAGGTATTTCTTTTGACAATCACGTAAACTTCAATCGTCAATAGTCATGTTGACTTTTCTAATATAACAACGATTCTAGATTAACAAAATTCTAATTTCTTGTAATTATTGTAAGTTTCATTCACATTCATATGTTATTTATAGTGGTTTCATCGTAATATCTATGTTCTCTAAATTGTTAAAAAGACTGGAATATCATCTCAGAACATCATATTACGACAGTAAAGCAACTATTTAATATACCATACATCATATTAAGAAAAAGGTAGATAAAAACACTTGATTGGTTACATTTTGATGCGGTGACATTTGTTATGATAGTCATGCGATGCTTGTTGGAAATACACTTCGAATACAATTTTCAAAATGTTGCACTGACTTGAAAGCAGCCTCACAGGAAAACGGAACAAGTTATACCTACTGTGGGGCAAACACTTTTTTCGTTAACATGTAAAAAAATGACATCGATTTGTGTAACATTGTTATAAGATTAGATAACATTGCAAAAAAGGTTAAAATATATATTCTGTCCGAATAAGTGATGAATATTTACCAATACTTTTATAACTACAATGTGCATTTCGATATAATTGAGAGTACAAGCAATATTTGATACTGGTGAGTTTGTTCTACTTTATTTCGTAACCTGTTACATTAAAAAACAGAGTTTAAAACGTAGTCAAATAGACGTTCTTATTGAAGTATATCCGTTGAATTCTATAAGATAATTAGATATACTTCATAATAGTTTTAAATATTCACAACGTAGGGATATTTAAGACGCATCACGTTTTACAGTTAATTAAAATCCTTTGAAAACCGTCAATCAGATCATGTGCATACCGTTGTCACAAGTTTGTCTATTTCTAGTTGTAAGTTGAATTATTAACATAAATGATTTGAATTATGTTGGTACTTATCTCATCTAAATTTATATCAAATTAGCCATATGTAATGCACCTTTGGAATTTTTTGGATATATACCAATCATTTGTATGATGAACATAACAGAACGATAAAGAGGTTAGGTTCACAATTTGTTTTAGTCGTTCTGTGTTTGACTTTGTTCTGGCCTTTGACAGATGGAAACGTGTTTTTGAACAAGTGTTCAATTACATCCAACAACAATTCTATTTTGAATGCCAAAGATGGATACAATTAGAGGTTGCTGGAGTTTTTAAAAATATTGAAATGTTGTCGATCAATTAAGAAATTACAACGCAAGATACCAAAAAACCTGACGTCCGAATGGAGTCAACGGTTGGGGAAATTGAACATTACTGTTAAATGCATGTACAAAATAACTTGATTTGCAATATACAAATATCATGTCACACAATTCTCTTGTGAGTTTAGACATATAAACATGTACGTACTTATTGATCAAACTATATAATTTTAAACAATGAACATTATTAACTAAAACCGAACTTTTCTTGAAATATTGATGCCTTACATATGGTGTATTTTTTAGATGCACATTATTCAGTTTGTGTTATGGGTGCAATTGTTTTTGCAATATACTGTAAAAATGTGGTATCCAAATAATATTTTAAATAAATTAAAAGATACATTTTTGGTAACATGGTGTAAGTAAGGTATATTTGGATTCCAAATTTAATCAATTGTTTGATGTTGTTTGATTAAATTATTTTTTCTCTTATACTTGGACATGTTGGATGCGTCTCTAAGTGATTTTAGGGGATTTTCGGCGATTAAAGCAATTGCAACACCGTTTTAGTTTGTTAAGATACTGTTTGTCTGTTTTCATAATGCAAAGTGTAGGTATCACATGTATACACTAATAATGTGTTAAAATATATAACAATTTGAAATCTGATAGTAGAAAGTACGTTTTATAAGCATATGTTTCTATTTATTAATTAACATGTGTGATCGATAATAAAAATATCAAACTTTATGTTATTACGTAGATCCTTTCCTTTTTATTTTCTTCAGTCAGGGATAACAGTGTAATATGAAGAGTTATATTTCACGAATTCAGTCAGGCCAATGATATCAAATACTATCAGTAGTCACTCATCTTTTCAAGTTTGTCGGAAACAGTAACCGGGTGATATTTAAGATTTTTGAAGGTCAAAAACACATACATTTTCTCATCATTTTCTAAAAAAAATAAAATAAGCATAATTTGTGTCATAGCAGAAATTTTTGTTGGGTATGCAAAAGATTCAAAAAGCCTGATGTTGTCCAAATGTTCCTTAAAATTCGCTTAATATCCAGCAAGGTATTGTTTTATAGCTCTGTCTAGATTATTCATGTTTCTTTACATTTACATAAAAGTAATCACATCCTCTTAAACTTGTTTTGAGAATGTGTAAGAAAAATTTGATGCAAGCAAGAAAAAGAAGAAAATAGGAAATAGTACTGGATTTTAAAAACAAAATATTGTGAAAGATTTTATTGTTGAAGAATAACGAATAAAATATGCACAGCTGATATCTTTATATCACCAGTACACAATTTTAATTCGAAAACATTTATTATATAGCTAAATTTAATGGTTAACTCAATGACTCAGTATTTTAAAACTTTAAAGCACACAACGTACACCCTACACTCCATCTAAATAAAACAGTTATGGTCTGATTAATCTTTTTACTAAAGATGTCAATTTGATGTTTACTATCAAATTAAACGAAATTCATTTTAGGGGACTCCCCGTTAAATGACCAGGTAAATTCATTTAAGAACTGCAACAAAATGGCAGGTAAAAACTATTGATGCTTTGTGTTTTGTAAATGAATCTACACATTGTGGGAATGGAACTGTACGAAAAACAAGTTGTTGAATGAAAGGTGTGAATAACGTTACAACATAAAGAGATATGTTCGCTTTTTTTTTTATCAAAATTGCAAATAAATCCATAACAAAAATCATCAACTTACAAGACTGGTTGAATTGTAACTCGAATTTTGCTTAAAATTATAATATTAAAGACTTAAGATTTGATTTTAATATTTAAGTGTAAGACTGCATACGTTTGTTTAACTGGCAGCGTGTAACATTTGCGGGAAAATATAGCTTGAAATCAAATTTCAAATCAAATTGAACAATAACTGAAAATCTGATCGAACTTCAATAACTCCGTGGTTAATTTTCACTGTATCGAGAAAGTGTATGCTGTATTCAGTATGTTCAGCCAACAAAAATAACGTTTTTTTTTTCCTTTTGAACTATTGTCAGATTACTAACTACTACATCCTTTTTAGTTAGTCAAAACAGGATTTTTGACAACTTAATAGTATGTGAATACAGTTGGTGGCAGTTTTAAATGAAGAGTGATTCATATTTACATTATTATCATATGTACGCAGAGTCTGTCGATTAAAAACAATTAAGAAGAAAGACACATTTTCCTCGTCGCCTCCTGAAAAACTTTGATTATTGGATCTTGGATGTGTTCTGATATTTTAGTCTTGGATAATAATTAGTTTTATTAGCTGTTAATCGCTTTTACCTAGCTGTGAGTAACTGCGAGTACTCTCAGATATGTACGTTGTGTCTTTTTTGTTGTAAGGTTGGTATAAATACCCTTCGATGTACGGTTTGTTATTTTGTTAGATGTGTTTCTGCTTTGTATTGATCTAATGCGTTAACTCTCTTTTCAACTGATTTTTATAGTTTCTTCTTATGTTTTATGGTTACAACACTGTCCCAGGTTAGGGGAGGGTTGGTGCATCAAACATAACTCCGCTACAATTGTTATTTGCCTGTCCCAACTAAGAAGCTGTAAATCAGTGGTTCTCGTGGGTTCATGTCTGTTTTATTTGTTTTTCGTAAATTGTATTGTTAAAAATTAGGCCATACATTTTCTCAATTGATTCGTTTCATATAACTTTCATGTCGGGGTCTTTTGCAGTCCACAGTACGGAATTGGTTTTCCCATTGTTGAAGGCTGTACAATTGCCTATTATTGCTTATATCTACTATATTTGAACTTTGGTGGATAATTGCTTCATTCACATTCATATCACATCTTATTTTTATATTAAATAGTATCATTAAAACAAACAATTATATGCACAACTGTGGTGTCCTTTTCTCCTATTTACTCGATTAGAAAAACACCCTCTAATTATAGTACAGGTAACATTTTGTAATACACCTGATCTGCATTTTGACAATTGATTTATCTTAAGTGATGTTCGAGTCCAAAATCGTTATAGAAACATGAAGAGCCGATCCATACTAGGAATCTGAGATCTCTATGAGGGAAATATATGACCTGATGTCTAGTAATTTCCAAAATTTCATTACATTTCCATATTGTTATGACAGAACAAAAAACTTGTTACTTGGCTAATGATACTCAATGAGACTGAGTCTGCCAGCAGACGAATCGACCCAGTAGTAGTAATAATGTAAAATATACCAATATGTATGCACCAGATCCGCAACCAATGTCATTTTGATGTCTTCTTAACCATTACTTACAAAAATGACCAATAGGCTTTTAGTGGGTATGACATATTACAATAATCATTTGTATGAATAATTTTGATAAGATCTACCATTTTTCAGAAACAGACACACAAAACATGTCAATAGCTCTCTACAGATATATGTGTCAGGAAATTATTGGAACTGAGGAACAGGTTAAAACTATTAGAATGCTGAACAATATAAGAGACTATTTGAACAGCAGCAATAATTTAATAACAATCACCAGTGGAAGTTTTGGAGATGGACTTGAGATGCGAGGAAGTGATTTAGATATAATGCTTGTTCCTAAATTTATTGAGGTCTCTGAAGAGGTAAACATTCATTTCATTACTGATACAATATATTTTACAATGGCATCAGAAGATACACCTCCAGGTTTCACTAAGTTACGTCTCTTACACAGTAATGATCAGAGTATCCTTGAAGACTGTGATGAGTTTGGACATGATTATTACTTTTCTAACGCTTCAGTTAAACGAAGAAATTTAACAGACATTTTCTCATGTGTTCATGGTCCTTGTGTATCAGATAAAGAGGGAATCTTCGACTTTGCATTTTGTGTACGTAGTAAAGCATGGATTACACAAGCAAACCAATGGATAACACGATCAAATAACGGATGGCCAGATTACAATGTCAAACAGTCTATTGTTAAACATGGCGTACTTTTTGTTCCAGTCGGTGTGAAAGGATCTAAAAATGAAGAATTAGAATGGCGAATATCGTTTTCCGTTGGAGAAAAGTTTTTAATTTATACACTTACGCATACTCAGCTTTTGTGTTATGCTCTTATGAAAATTATTCTGAAGGACGTGATAAATATTGACCGCCATTGTAAATACTTGCTTTGTTCGTATTTTATGAAAACCGTTATATTTTGGATATCTGAAGAATTCTCTACATCAATATGGAAACCTGAAAACCTCATATCGTGTTTCATGAGATGCTTTAGAAGGTTTATATATTTTGTTGAATACTCAATGTGTCCACATTATTTTATTCCAAAGATTAATTTATTTGATAATAAGATAAAAGGACAATCACAGCAAATACTTCTAAATAAGTTGCATATTCTAAACAGTTGTAGTTGGCAATGTGTCGAATTTGAATACATCAACATGTATAATTAGCAAGGAGCCTCGTCATTCAATCGTTCGCAGTGTTGAAGCGCTCTTATGTTCAATAATTTATTTTGCAGACAATTTGTCGTTGCATATGAACTTGAATTTAGAAAAGGGAATACACCAGGTATTGTCTATAAAGAGTTCCAAGATTAAATCTCTATACACGTACTATATTTCAAAATTGTGTTGCAAAGGTGGCCAATTACAACCATTTAATGACATATCTTCTAATAAATCTAAATACAAACGTTACAATACTGCTTTAAGTACTCTGTTGTTGGGTACAAGTCATGACCCTGTATCTGGATGGCTGCTGATTGCTTCGTTTTTCTACAAAACAAAAGAATACAAAACAACTGCTTTACCATTGTCTTTTAAAATGTACACCTGAGAAGCTTTACAGAGGTATGAATTTGTCGCATATTCAAAAGGATTTATTTAATCTGCCTTTATTTAGTGGGCTAACTAGTGTTGAGTTGTCTAAGCTGCTGCTGATAGTCTTTGTGATGTTCCCGTTTAACTCGGTGATAGTACCGGGAGAACTACGAATCGAAGAAGAGGTCAAGAGACTTTTAATACCCCCTGTTGTATATTCTCATTTCCTACGTTTCCTTTGTCATTATCATTTATTTAATATCAGACAATGTCGGGATTCTCTACGCGACCTCCGGTTGACTATAGAGAAAAAACATTGCATAGCAAATTGCTACCAGGGAGCTATATCTTACAACATACTAGGCATAACTTTTCAATTATTAGGTGACACAGAATCAGCGAGACAGGCATTTATGCAATCATTAGAAATAGAACCGGATCCAAATAAAAATGATGCGTCAAGAAGATTAGAATTGATTAGTAAAACAACATCATGATTATGTATGATAAGTTTCATTTCTGTATTATCAGTGACTGTAATATTATTACATACTTGAATTGTTTGTGTACCTTTATATTTATTATTGTTAACATTGTGATTATTATTTGATGTGTCTTTAAAGAGAAAGGTTCTTGAAAAAAGAATTGACCCCCCCCCCCCCTCCCCCCTCTTCCGCCCTCGAACCTCTGTTCAGACCTTCATTCTAAGTAAAGAAAAGACACAATTGTAAATCGAGTTAAAATGTCTTATAGTGTAAAAAAAGTATTATGAGTGTTGCCTTTTGCAATCTGTCCCATGTGATCTCAAGCAGATGTACTAAGTCTTAACAGCAAACGCAATGGTAAGCCACTATGAAAGATTAAGTTACACACTGCATTCTATGGAGAACTCTTGTAAAGTCCAAACAATTTTTTAACATCAGAATTGGAAAGGGAGGTTTCCACACTACGAGTTGTATTATTTCAAAACTACATCATATCCATTTAAGATAACATTGGGTTTCTAAATTTAAGTAGTTATTGAAGAAGTAAAGTTTTCATGTACTATAAAATTGTTTAGGCTATGATTCCAACTTTGATACAAACATAACTAAATCAACAAATACACACACAAATATTGCAGTTAGTTTTAAATACAATATAGGAATGCTTATTTGTTTTAGTGTACCTGTGCATATATATTTTCTGCATTTGCTTTCTGTTTTCTTTGTGTCTGTTATTTTTTATTCAGGTTGCAACTTTAGAAACTCTAAAACTGTTTTTTTTTTTGTTTTTTTTCTGGCATTTCCAGGAATTGTTTGTCTTTGAATGTGCAGACAACTTATGTCACGTGAATTTCACATGAATCTAAAGTGAAAAATGTCACGGGAATTTAACCTGACTGATTCCCTATATAACAAGTAGTAATAAGGTTAAAAATGTTTGTAAAGTAAATTATTACCTCCCTACCTACAATGTACCCTTTTTCAGCACTTAGCGTTGGGGGAAACACATTTTTATTACTGAGTAATTTTGGCCTGTCTCACCAGTTGGAGATTAGTTCTGTGGGTAGAGCTTTGTCAAGTCTAACATTCATAACATACATGTTTTTTATAAACACATTCTGTGCCAAACTATTTGAGGGCTTGTCTGACCGAGAAAAAATATTTGACGTTTTAACTTCATGTATTGTATATTTTTAACATATAAAATGTAATTATGTATATAATAAAGGAGATATTAGCTCTATTTATTTTTACTTACTCACGTTACATTTTATACAGTATAGTTAAAATACTACTGGTTCATTCTGGTCCATATAAATGAGCACTGCCCTTTTGCCCAGCTTGTCAGGTGACAGGAGCTTCATCCTAGTATTTCTTGGTGAGGCTTTGTAAACCCCAATCAGTCTCGAATCACAAGGCGCACGGAAAAGTGGTTCTGATCTTTCATAAACTGTACACAGCAACACTAATTTTTCAGGATCATTTGGATCAACTTGTTGTGTCCTTGAAATAATTTCGCAACACTGGTTATTGTCGATGACAAAAGCATTGTTTGGTTGTTTAAACTTCAGAACAGTTGATCTTTGAAAACTTTCTTCTCTATTTGTACAATTGAATTGTTCCTGCTCATCTTATCTTTTCACAATTTGTACCTGTAAATAGTTTTCAAATGCAAATGCTGAACAATCATCTAAATTTCCATATTCTTTAGCTTCGTCTGTAATATGAAGTAAGCTGTGTACGTTGTAAACCAAAAACTCTGGACCATAAATTATTCTTGCACTTTCAACAAAATACTTGAGAAAATTGTGTGCATAGTCAGAATTATTCTGAACTGAACTTGAACATACCAATATTGATATTCCAACACTAAATGCCATGAAATTCTTATATATATCTGACATCAAAATGTCTTTCAAGACAATTTTGCCTGTGTACAGAAGGAACTACCTAAATTCAGTGGCTTTCCATGGATCAATTTAATCCAAGTTTCTTGGTTTTCTGGCAAAAAAATTCAGGATCAAATGATCGTAATCTAACTAGTTTGCGACCTATTTCTTGAACTTGTTGACTGGACAGTCTAACTTCCAATGTTCCTCTTTTCCAAGTTAAAAGTATTTTTTTCATTACACCAAGACATAATAGGTGCATGTAATCTAAGGGAAACTGCTTAATCATGTCTAATTTGTCCATTGGTAAATCACAAAATGGAGAGAGGTAATTTTGATGTTCTTGATTTAAAGAGTTTCTTAATGTTTCATTTGTTCTTAAGCTCAAAGTATTAACTTCTTGGTATGTCATCCTACCAGTCCAATTTCCTTTTTGTACACACTTATCACAGCCATAGTAGCCGCAGTATAGTTCCTAGCAGGAGCATCACACACTATGCCTTTCAAATTCGCTTTTATAGTGCGATTACCAGAAAGAAATCCTTTTTGAAGTATATTGTCTAATTCTATAATAGTTTTTTCTCATAAATCTAGATTTGATGGCTAAGATCTTCCTAATGTAAGGGCAACTGGAAAATTTGAACAGGCTTGATGTGAACCTTGCAAATGACACGCCACAGAGATGTGTTAGTGCTTTTGAACAATGGCAGACCATCCATATTGAATGATAAGCTAACTTCTGACAATGCACTATGTTTTTCTTCTGAGAGTGAAGAATAACAAGATTGCAGCTGTTTAACTAAAACAAAAACAATATATTCCATGCCTGATTTAATTTCTGTTGTTACATTTTTCATAGTTCCTAACAATGTTCTGGCAGTCAATGGCAATGAAGATTGTCCATGCTTTTTTAAGACACCGAGAAGAGCATCAACAGCATTATGTTTAATGGAATGTTCATTCAACAATTGAGCAAGATCATTAGCTAAAACAGTATCTTTTTCATTTTCAAAATCTTCCTCACCAGAGTCCGAAACATTTTCTAGGTCTGTGGTTATTGAATTATGTGAAACAAATCAGAATCATCTTGTTCAGGATCAATTGTATGAAAACTGTTATCTAATACTGGAACTATTTCTTCAGATTCATGTAACACCAACTGTGGACAAGTATTGAATAGTGAACTACATAGGCTGCCCTCATGTTCATCTTCTTGATCATGGTTAAAATGATGCTCAACATAACGGTTGTAATTGTTAAATATGTTTTCTTGGGTGATAGCATGACTAGATGACTGCCTCAAAGCTGTTGAAGCAGCTATCCACTGTCTCTTGTATTCTTTTCTGTATTTTTTACTACTTGTGCAGGTGGTATGAAGTAAAGAACAACAAAACACATGCAAACATGCAAATTTATATTTAATCCCTTATTAAATATTATGATGTCATCAATGGTCAATGATAAGTGTATAAAAATTTGAAAATATCCTCTCTCTACCAGACCAATAATTGGAGTACAAAATATGCTAATCTTGAATGTTTTCACTTTTTAAACTAGGGCATTTGCTCTGATGATCACAGCTACCCTTGCATTCTAAATTTTGAAGCGAAAAGGGGTCACAACTTCTGGATGGCATGTTTAGGACCACTATAGTCGTCATACTGTGATGATATAACAAAAAATGTATTTTGTACTTATAACCACTTTAAATGTATGTTACACAAACTTTTTACGAGTAATCAGTGTCTTCAAAACATCATTTATAACCATCGGTAACAGATCTTTGTTGGATATTAAATCAAAAAATATTCTTAATCAGACATACAGTCTAAGTGAAAGTTTTCAGAACATCAGTCATATCCAGCAAAAAAGGATGTCGGGTTAGAATGGCTTTCAAAGATCCGGCAGAAATTTTGGAATTGTTTACAGATATATTTCTTCAATAAAGTATGGCACCTGTCATGCCTGTAGATCAGTTAAACCCGAGGACATTTAATCTTTTAAACATTAAAATTCAAAGGACCAAAATTACAGTAAAAAAATTACGTGAAATTTCACATAGACTGCGTTGGTTTGAAGTGTTACTTTTTGCATTGCAGTGCAATATTCATCAATAATTTTTATATGCAGATCTAAGAATGCAGTGCTGGGTAGCAACCTACACTGTATGACATTATTATTCTAAATTTGATTTGTACTTTTATTGTAATTTAACATGTCCTGCATACAAAAAAATTCTCCAATCACGTGTCATGCTTAGACCCACTGCGAATACCTACCTACTGGGCGCAAATTAAAGCATTAAATCTGCGAGGATAGATTTTTGGTTTCGTTGACCTAGAACATCTAAATTAAATTTACATGTGTAAAATTGAGAATGAAAATGGGGAATGTGTCAAAGAGACAACAACCCGACCATAGAGCAGACAACAGCCGAAGGCCACCAATGCGTCTTCAATGCAGCGAGAAACCCCGCGAACGGAGACGTCCTTCGGCTGGCCACTAAACTGTATAGTCCATTTTCAAAAAATCCATTTACTTTGAATATTGTGCAAATATCCTCCATAATCATTCAAAGTCAAAGAAGTGTTAACCCTTTTAAATTTGGTACGAAGTTTTCAAATTTACAAAACAACATGCATGCTAGCAACGTTTATTTTCACCGTCATTAAAAAATATGCTCGGAATCATCGTCCTTAGCACATGCAAAAAGTTAAAGTACTTTAAAACAGACTATAATATTTCATTTTGATACTTTACATGTAGATTTTTGCTGTTGCTTGGAAGTTAGGGAAGGCGTCCATATTTCAAAAAAATCAGAAAGCTGTACAAAACGTCATTATTATTTTACTATGCTATGGGTAGTTTAAATAATTAATTATGCTGTCTTCCAAGGCTTGTTTTTATTTTACTCATGTAAAAGTCAGACCAGTACAGTCGCGGATCCAGGAGGAGGAAGGTTCTGGGGGGTTGCATCCGCCCTTTTTTTAACGATCAATGCATTTCATTTGAATGGGGACATATGGTTGGAACCTCCCTTTTATCCTTTTTTTTTTTAAATGATTGGACCCGCCCCTGCAGTAGCCCATGAGGCATGACAAATTTACATGTGATGCAGTGGTGAATGTGAATTTATCATTTTATGCCTGTACGGTTAAATCTGTTAATAGAATCATGCAAATCACAAAACATGCAAAATATCATGGAGAAAATAATGCAATAATTAGTCTCAATTTTTACAAAATACATCGACTGTTAATTGATTGTATACATACCTCTTAGACTGGACGCAATTCTGTATTCTGCTCTTCTTTAGTGTCATTGTTTTCCCGGTTTAAAAAGGCGGTGAGAGTATCCGGAAGTTTCGAACAAATTAAATCTAATAAAAATTTCTGCTTTAATACCAATTATTGTCGTAAATAATACATTTTTTCAATTAAAATGTCAAATCTTCGAATATGATAATACTTTAGAGATGCGATCAAGGAAAATATAGAAATAAAATTCGAAACTAACTCATAAGTTACACTGGTTCCCGGTTTTACAGAAACGAAACCAGTTATTAGGCTGCAATATTTTTTTTTGACGTATATAACATTTTGAAGATCGAAGATGACTTTTTGTAAATTAAAACTTAAAAGCAATTAAAAACAAAATTATTGTGGCGATATGAGAAACATGATTTATAAAGTTCTTCTATACTTATTAAAAAACATTTTTGAAACATTATTAAAAAACAAATTTAAAACGTTGTTTTAAAATGTATTATTTATTTTCATCAAAAACATTTTAAAAAAAATGTTTTTTTACGTTTAAAAAATGTTTACAGAAACATTTCTACCATAGTTACAGAAAACGTTTTAATTTAACCTTTTAAAAACATTTCTAAAACGTTTTAACTTATTTGAAACCTTTAAAAAAACGTTTCTAAAATGTTCTGTGTTTGGTGGGTCGTTATTAACGTACACACTTACAACGTTTACAACAAATATGACAGGTAGTATTTATTCAACAACACATTCTCGATTCGTTTAAATCTGCCAAACATAAGGATCTTTTACAGCAACAAAAGACTTTAGTGTACAGATTGTGATCTCGAGCATTACAGAAGAGACATATATTTCTGCAATGCCGTATAGTACAGTATTTTTTGTTCTATTTTTTGTTATTAAGCCTCTTTTAAACAAAACAAATGTCGACAACCTTAGCTTAACAGTTTAATCAGGTATACGATGAAAGATTTATATGGGTATATGCTAAGTTGTGTCATAAGTTTCTAAATATTTTTGGTTTACATTTTTGGGTATCTCCCCTAACGGACAAAAGTAAAAATAGGTAAAAACTTTGACATTTG